AAAAAAAAAAAAAAAAAATCATTGGGGAAAGGATAAATAGATGGTGCTGAGAAAACTACACTTTGCAGAGAAAAATGAATTTGGATCCCTACCTCACAACATACACAGAAGAAAATTGCTTAAAAGTAAAGGTAGGTCTGTAAGCATAGAGGAAAATGTGGAGTATCGTGTGGTTAGGGAAGTATATATTAAATAAGACCTCTTAAACTATAAGGTGAAGAATTGATAAATTTTATTTTGTAACCATCATGAAAAAGACTGGGTCAAGCAAGAACCATGAATGAATGCTAAATCTAGAGAGAAGTTTTGATGAGAAGAGTAGGTTATCTGTACGACCTGAAAGGGCCTCCCCACGGATTGCTTATTGCAAGAGAAAATCAGTACCTCTGCAGTGGAGAAACTGGCAGCCAATTAGATAAAATTATTGTATCCTTTCTAAATTTACTGAAGTTGGTAGCTCTAGTGTTGTGTAAAAGAACATTCAGAATCTCAGGAAATACATGTGGAGGTATTCATATGCAGCTTATCCTCAAACAGTTGAGGAAAAATATAGGGCCGGGGCGGTGGCTCACACCTGTAATCCTAGCACTCTGGGAGAGTGAGGTGGGAGGATTGCTTGAGGTCAGGAGTTCGAGACCAGCCTGAGCAAGAAGGAGACCTGTCTCTACTAAAAATAGAAAAAATTAGCCGGGCGTGGTGGTTCATGCCTGTAGTCCCAGCTACTCGGGAGGCTGAAGCAGGAGGATCCCTTGAGCCCAGGAGTTGGAGGTTGCAGTGAACTATGATGTCGCCACTGCATTCTAGCCAGGGTGACAGAAAAAGACTCTGCCTCAAAAAATACATATATGGGGAGGAGAGAATAGATGAGGGCAAATGATAAATGGAGTAAAAATATTAATAAATTTTGTCAAATTTTTTTTGAAATTTGCTAATCTTAGAAAAGCTTAGTTTACTAGGGCGAAATATTTGCAACATTTAAACCCCCAGTGAATTACCTACAATACAAGAAACTCTGGAAACCAAGATTAGCCCAGTGGAAAGATGGACAAGATTGAACAGGCAATTTACAGAAGGGTAAACCAGATCCAATGGCTAATCATTTTTCATAGATTTGTAATATCGCTGCAATGTATAGATCTTGAAAACAATCCCAAGCAAGGAAAAACAAATAGAATGACAGCTATGGTGCAATATTTATATACATTTAAAATGCACGCGTATCTTCACAACACTACATGTTTCAAAATTAGGGCTACAAAAATGTCAGAGGAGGTGTCTATGACTAGGGAGGAATGGGAGTGAGAACGAAAAGGAAAAAGAGAAAGAATAGAAGTAGAGAGGGATGCTACTACACACAGATGTCGTCAGCAGGCCATGGGCTCAAGAGTTGGATGAATTAAACTCACACCGAAGGTCCCTAAGAGAAAGGGGGGAAAGTGATAACCCCCATGCTCTTATTAACTTGGCTCTATCTTAATGGGTTAGAAGCAGCTTTCATTACAGCTCAGGGCACCAGCCCCAACCTGCCCACTTTGCTGCTCATTTGCATCTAAACTCCCCTTCTGGCACCCTACTCCTGGCACACCCTTGGGCACATCAGGGAACACGTTCATCACAGAAAACATTTTTGTGTCACAAAGGAACTGTTTCAAAGCTTTTTGCCAAGAATCTGAATGCTGGTTCCTGAGGGTTTTAGCTGCTGCTGCTTTTTTTTTTTTTTTTGAGATATAATTTACAGAGCATAAAATTCACCCATTTAAAATGTACAATTCAATGATTTTTAGTATACTTAGAGTTAGGCAATCATCACCACAATATACTTAATTCTAGAACATTTTCATCCCAGAAAGAAAACTTGTACCATTATTCAGCTTCATTTTTAATCATGTATTCCTCTCTCCCCAAGGGTAGGAATAAAACCTACAGGCTGGTCGCCGACCAAGAGAAAAACGTGCAGCCTGGGGCTCGACCGGGATGCGCTATCACTTGGCAGGCTATGCCTGGGTAAACACCTGGAGGCTTAAGCAGGCCGTGCAAAGATGTCTTTTTCAGTATTTTCGAAAAGATAATAAATGCACATGGCAGGGATAAAAGGACGTCCAGTGGAAAGAATCCACCACCCTCCAAAATACACACCCTTCCCTGACCCCTACTCCCTAGGCAACACGTTTAGCAGTTTCTTATGTTTCTTCCCAGAGAGGTTCTCATCGCAGAGATTTCTGAAGTGCACATTATTTACCCCGGAGGAGAAGAGGAACTGAATTGGCTAGGGAGTGGGGTGTGGTTGGAAGCCAAGAACGGCCTACGGCTTGCCCCTGCCTTTCCTTGAAGATCAACCTAGATGGCCTGCTGGAGTCCCACCCTGGGTGACCCCACGCCTGCCTGGGGTGAGGTGGGCGGGGATGGTTACTAAGCGCAGGTCGCTCGTGCACCTTGAGAACTGGAACCTAACTGTGCTTGAAAAAAGGGTCCTCCTTGGGCACTGGCCCAAGTGGCGCCCACCTGAGGTCCTAGCCAGCAACTCTTTCCAAGGCTGCAGCGCTGGGTGCGTATGGACGACCAGTGTGCCATCCGTGTGAGGACGTGTGAGGACGTGTGCGTGCTGGGTGAGCACATGTGTGCACGTGGTGTGAACTGTGTTCACACATTGTGTGAGGATGTGTGTGCACGCTGTGTGAGAAACTGCGCCCTACATCTATACACGCTTTGGGTGTGTGCACGCACTGTGTGGGGAGGTGCGTTTACGCCAGGTGTGCCTGTTGTGTGCATGCTGCGTGTAAGCATTGTATGAAGAACTGTGTGCACGCTGTATGGTGTGCGCATGCCTTGTGTGTGCACGCTGCGTATGTACCGCAGTGTGTAAGGACGCGTGCCCGTGCGCGCGCCGGGAGGACTGTTGCGCACATTGCATGTGCACGTTATGTGCGCGCGCTGCGTGACAGCCCGTGCGCACATCGCAAGTGCTCGGCGTACGCGCGCTGCGTGGGAACCGGTGCGCACATCGCACGTGCACGGCCTGCGCGCGCTGCGTGAGGACGCGTGCGCATGCGGGCGCGCGCGGGTCCCGGTGCTGCGCCGCGGGCCAGGTAGTGCGCCTGTGCGGCCAGCGCATCCCGATGGAGCGCGGCGGCGGCTTCGGGGTGGGATCCCGGGTGGAGGGGGCTGCGCGGGGCACCCCTCTTCCCGGGAAGATGGCCGAACCGGGCGCGGTGCGGACCTCGCCACCCAACCACCGGCCTCCGGGTAGGGACACCAGAGTGCATCGGGCGCGTCGGGGTTTCGGCCCCCCGGAGGGCGGGGCGGGCCTAGGAGGGCAGCGGTCCTCCAGCGTTGGGGGCGGGGGCGGGGGAGCGACGCAGAGCTTGGATAAATGCCTTTAACTCCACCCCGGGTCAACTGGGCGCGGGATCCGGGGGCCGCGCCCCTAGCTGTGCCGGTGGTGGGGTCCCTTCCCCGGGTGATCTGGGTGAGTAGGTGCGCCTGGGGGTGGCTTAGGGTGGGTGGCAAGTGTGTTTGGGATGGAGGTGCCTGAGTGGGGTCTGGAGGTCTCGTCCCTGTACTCGAGGAGCAGCCGGCGTGGGGGACACTGGGGTGGACCAAGCCTGCTCCTGGAGGTCTCCCTGGCCTCTGCGCCCGCCCTCTCTGCATCTTGGGAAACACGCACGAGAGGTAGCTGTAGCCTGTGGCGAAGGTGGCTCAGCTTCGCGCTTCTTGGTATCCGCAGGTAGCAAAACAGGCATGTCACCCAGTGACAGGGGCGTAGGGCGCATCTCCTGGTCAGCCGGGAGCTCCTGCCGTCTGAATGCGCTCCTTGAGGTCTCGGGTACGCTGCCCAGGTGTCTGGCCTGGCCCCCTCACATGGCAGCGCGGCAAAAGAGTCTCCCAGCCCGCGAGGCTGCAGTTGCTGGGAGCCATGGGGAGGGGAGGGGGGGGCTGGTCCCTGTACTGGCTGCCCAGAAACGGGAGATTGTGAGGACATTCGCAGGATTTTAGATAAGGTCTTGCATCTTCTAGTGCTAACGTTCTGTAAAGTGGTTGCAGGTAATGCGGGGGTGTAAGCAACGTTGAAACCGATTTCATGCTGTTTTTCCTAGCAACATCTTTTCTTTTTTCGTTAATAATGCAAGCTATTTTTAAAATATTTTTTACTGCAGTCTAAGATGCATGTAAAAAACACACAAATCTTAAGTATGTGATTCGATGAATTATTACATAGTGAAGATATTAAGTATTTCTTCACTATGGTGGAAGGTGGAACAAGAAAAGGAATCAAGGGAAATGTTTTTTAGTCACTTAAAACATGCTTTTTATGGAGATGGGGACAATTTTCCTGATTGCACTTTGAGTTGCATCATTCATAGCAGGAAGGAATGGCTTAAATCGTTTCTAGTTTGTGTTTTTCATTATGCTTTTGTTAGAGGCAGAATTTAATAAATATCACAGGCTAGTGATATAACTACCTTTTGCATGCGTACTTCCGTTTTCATCCTTTTTGCTTGAGAAATTCACACTGCATCTGCTAGGGAAGAACCCAGAACCCACCCACCACAGCCAGCTCTCCCTGGCAGAGGGGAGCTCGTAGAATAAAACATTGGAAAGGGAAGGTTAAGTTTGCATTTTTATTTGGTTGAGAATTTTAATGATAGATTATTTAGATGCTTTTTTGTACTGAGAGGTGGGGAGGGGCGGTATGGTTGGACCTTCAGTTAATCTGGGATTTTAATGTATTTCAAGGAACTTAATGAGGGGATTCTTATTAAGTTCTGTTGGGAAACTTTATTGTAGAATCATTTAATGAATTAGCTTAAGACTATTTTTCTTCATTTGAAATTGGGAATGTGGAAAGACATGTTGTGTGAAGGTTTAAAGTATTAAACTTCTACGTGCATTAAGGTTGGTATGGTAAAATTGGAGTGTTCAATTTAGGTGACAGGTGGTACCATGGTTTGTCCTTTTGGGGGTTAGCGAGGCCGGGTACTTAGATAAGTAATGTCATCCTCAGAAAAATCATGGTTCTTGAGGTTTTATTATAATGTGTCCTGGATACTGATCATTCTTGGTCATCCAGGGCTTTATCATTTGGGATCTATTCCTAATGAGAGTTAACCTGGTTTTCTAGAGCGGCAGTCCCCAGCCTTTTTGGCACCAGGGATTGGTTTCATGGAAGACAATTTTTCCATGGACTGGCGGCGGGTGTCGTGGGGGCTGGGGGCGTGGTAGAGAGCTCAAGCTGTGGTGGGCAGCCCATTTCCTAACAGGCTACTGACTGGTACGGCCTGTGGCCCGGGGGTTGGGGCCTGCAGTTCTAGAAGGTCAGCCGTTGTTCGTAAGCTTGTGCTGAGTGCTGTGCAGACTACAAAAGACAGAAAGGCCTGAGATGTTTAGGCTCTCCAACGTTTTCGTGTCGGCACAGTTGGGGAATATGAATTGGCCAGTGGTTTTCCTGGGAGCTGTTGCAGAAGAGGGAAAGGGGATGCCTCTGGTGGTTTCCTCTAGCAACAGGTTCTTCTGATATTGAAATCCTGTGCATGTTCCCATTACCCACCAGCGATGCCTTCTTTCTTTCCTTTTTATTACCGCAGGGCTGGAAATTACCAAATGTACTGTTCTATTTAGTGCTTGTGTTACATGCACAATATAACAAATGCGCAAGTGCCTGTTATTTTGCTCTGCTTAAATACCTTTAGCCAGCATATAGACTCACCAGATCTCAACTGTCACGTCAGACTGCATCATTGTCACACAGGTCCTGTGTTCCCCTCAGCCTGAAATGCCCCCTTTTCCCCTTTCCCTTCAGGGATTCACTTCCTCTAGGGTCCCTGTCAGAATTCATGCACTTCCTGTCTGTTCCTGCAGTATCTCCAGCAAAGCACTCTTCTGTTCTGCCCGTGTTACATTAACCTTCCAATTCTTCTAGGTAGATGTTCATCGGGTGCTCACTGCCAGACTCTGTGCTGAATAGGTTGAGGTCCATACTGCCTGAATGTGAATGTCAGCTCTTCCCTTCCTACTGTGTCACTTTGGGGAAGTTATTTGACATCTCTGAGCTTCAGTTTTCTCACCTTTAAAATGGACTTAAGAGCAACACTGGGAGATACATCTCGAGGATGAAGGAATTGATGTCTCTAAAGCAGTGCCTAACACACAGTTGAGTGCTCCAGCTGGTTAGCCATTATAAGCTACATGCACCTCCTCTATTAGATCATTAGCTTGAGGGTACAGCCTGGGTCCAGGTCCAGGTGCCTCCCTCAGTGCCACCTCCCAGCCCTCCTCGGAGTGTTTGAGCACAGGTTTCCCAGTTGCATTATGCTGAAGCAGCTACACTGGGTTGAGCGCTCAGTAAATACTGATGAGTTGGATTCAAGAAGTGTATTGGTGAGGAGAAGTTTGAGATCATGGAACTGCAAAGCATGTTTTCTGAGACTTGTTGAGTTTTCCAGTGCATTCTGCAGATAAATAATTGTCTTACTGAGTTGAACTCATTTGCCCATTGTTCCCTAGGAAGGAGGGAATTACTTTGAGGTAAGGTGGCATTCCCTCATGTCCTTCAACCTGCATGTCTTCCATCCTCTGCCCTGAAGCAGAACCTCTTCCAGGGGTTCAAAGTAGGGTGGGGCCAAGCAGCAAAGGCTGAGAGTTAGGGCCCCAAGAAAGCAGAGTTCTTCGTCCTGTTTCAAAGTTGCATTTAAAATCATTCTTGAACATTTTAATCTCAAAGCTGCCTGGAAAGAACAAATTGAGTTTGCATGTGCATATTGACTTCTAGAGGCCCTTTGGCAGTGGGAAGGACCTCCAACTTCCTGCACAGTTGTATTTGGTTTGGGGCTTCTGGCTTTGTTTACTGATGGCAGCATAGGACTTGCACTTAGCAGGACCTTCAGGACAAACTGCTGAAAGTCTTTCTGACCGTCACCAGTTTCTCTTCTGATGTCCTGAGTGTGGTGAAACAACTACTCAAAGCCTATCACTTCTAACCCTTCTTCGTCTCCAATACTAAAGGATGTTTTTCTCTCTTTCAGGTGCCCCATCTTCTGCAATCGTTAGTTTTTTCAAAGAACATCTTGTCCTCTGTAGTAATTACACTGATTGACTTACAAAACAGAAGGATTCACAGGGTCGATTTGGGTCGGGCAAAGATGGGACTTCTGGGGGATGTCGGTAAATGTCTTGGTGAGCTTTGTTGGGAGGATTGAATGAGATCTATTGCTTGGTGATATGATACTACCTGGTTTTGGGGGGCTGTCAGTGTGCGGAGTTGGCTCTGGCAGCAGTTCCAGGATTTGAAAACTTCCCATGGCCTTGCCCTCCAGCTTCTTCTGCAAGGAATTCCACCAGAAGCAGCAAGAGGGGGTGGTTGAGGGTAGCTGCCTTTAGGAAGGGATTTCTCACTGTCCACTTAGCATCTATGGCAGCCACCCTTGAAAGTGGAGTCTGCTATCTTGTACTCTGAGGCTCTGCGGAAGACTAGGCCTCTGGATCCCCCCTCATCTGCCTCTGAGGTCAGCCTGAACGCAAGCCCTGATGTGCTTTTCTGTCAGGGAGCATTTGTTCCTCTTGCCTAGGAACTTTTTCTCTTTTTAGAAGCCTTGCGATTAGCAGAGTTCAGGTTGTGATTTAAGTGAAAGGAAAGCAGGTATGAGTGAGCCACACATGTACAATGTGTTTGAGGAACAGCAGTCATGCGAAATGACCGAGATCCCTCGGAATGTCCGGGTCTGTCCCCAGGGTTCATAGCTTCTGGCTAGTGCTAGGTTCTTTCACCATCTAAAAATACCAGCTTTTCCTCTCAGCGCCAAATAGGCTGGTGCCTTGTAGCCTGCAGACAACCCTTCAGAATGCTTCTTGCTCCTTTGTCGTCTCAGTCTCTTGATCCCCACCCCTGAGTTTCTGTAATAACAGCTTTATTGAAATAAATTTCATATACCATACATTTCACCCATTGAAAGTGCCCAATTCAATGGGTTTTAGTATGTTCAGGGTGGTGCAGCCATCACCGCAATCAGCTTCAGAACGATCAGCCATCATTCCTCATCCCCCTCGCCTCCCAAGCACTGATCTGTAGCAATGCAGACCTCGAGGCCCCTGCCATGGCAGTCTTCAGCCTCTGGGGCATACACACGTGCGGTCGCCTAGAAGTCCATGGTGGGTCTTCGCGTTAGGAAACCATCATTCTACACATTCCATCCTTCAGGTGCAAGACGTGCTTTCAGCCTGAAGGCTTGCCTTTTCACCTCCTACGCACC